AGGGGGACTTTGGATTCATCCAGCGGCTCCGCTGAGCTCGCGGAACTGCTCGTCGCCGAAGTGTCCTGTCCCGGGGCTGCCCCCTGGGCTGCCCTCTGCCCGAGCACGTCGTTGTGCTTGCTGCTTCGTTGGCCGGGGCCGTTGGATTCCCTCTTCGGCCTCGGGCGGGGCGAGGCCTGGCCCTGCTGCCCGGCCGCTTTCCTCGACGCTGGCCCTGCTGCCTTGGCCTTCCGCACGAGCTCCTTCTCCTTCTTGCGGCTGTTCTGACGGACCTGGTGAGGCGCAACACAAGTAAATCCACGGACTGGGTGAACTGACGGAAAAATCTTTAAAGACGGAAGCACTCCTTGCCTGATGGCGAACTTCTCGCATGACGTCTCTGGCGAGGATGTCGGCCGCCCAGTGGAACTCGGTGCTCTTGAGGAATTTCTTGGGCGTGAGGGTCATCATCATGGTGCAGAGGCGGTCCACCAGCTCGAACAGCTCCACCTCTGCACCGAACAAGAAGCACTCAAGAGCCGCCCACCGTGAGCCAGCGCTCGCTCAGCACCCCCACTGGTCGCGCGCTTGCCTTTCATGATCTTCCAGCGATGCTGCGTGGTGAGCTTGGTCTCTTCGCTGACGCTCTGCGCGGCGATGGCTACCATCTTCTTCTGCAGGTTCTTGGCCATCACCTCGAAGTTGGCGTCCAGATCGAGAGCGGCCTCTCGCTCCTCGTCCACCGAGCCCACCGTCATCGTGGAGCTGACGGCCTGCTCCAGCTCCTTCTTGAGCTGCTGGTTCTTCCTCTCCATGGCCTCGATCTGCCTTAGGATGCGTTGGCGCTCCTCCTCGGAGGACCTCCTCTCCGGCGAGCGTCGCGAGCGCTGCTTGCGCGGGCTCCTGGGCGCCCGCGGGCTGGGGCTGGGGTCGCTGCCGGGCGCAGACTCCTCGACGACGGCCTCCTCTGCGCCCGAGCGGCACTCCCTCTCCTCGCGCGCACGCGCCCGCTCACGAAGCTCGCTGTGCTTCATCATGCCGTGCTGGCAGACCCAGCCGCGCCGTGCCATCTCCCTGGCGGGCAGGTCCTCCAGCAGCGAGAAGCACCGCTGGCGTTCACGCAACAGGAGAGGGCGTGATTTTAAACCGCCGAACACTTTTAGAGCCATATCCGAGGCCATATCACATGTTAAGTTCGGTCGGAGGTCTCTCCAAGCTAACGGGAAGGCTACTCGGACGTATGCCAGCATGAAGTACATTGTAGGATGGGATGGTCCAGAAAGCACGTCCGTTTTTTTCACAGATTCATTCGTCAAACCAGGGGACCTGGCGCCTGCGAGACTCCGGGTAGGCCACCCCGCAACACACGCATGCATTGCAGGCAAGATGTTGCCTACCCACCAGGCGCTATGGCAGCTACGTTCGTAACGGCAAATGACCGACGTTCATTCTGGATGATCCTTGGCGCACGAATTGAGCCTACCTGATGCTGCCGTCACACTTACCTCGAGGGCCTTGTGGTACACGCACTTGAGGGTCTGCATGACCATGCGGTGGACGATGCCCTCCATGACCGAGTCGAGCAGCCCGTCCAGGGCCGTCGCCACGGCCTCCGGCTGCAGAGATCCCGTCAGGGGCTCAGACACGCTCGCGTTACACGTCACCCTCCGCGAGACCGCCCTATAATATAGGGCCTATACTCACAATGCCGTCCCTCTGCTCGTCGGGGTCGAAGCCGGTGGACCGGAACTCCCTCCACAAGTCGTCGCCCGTCATGCCTGGCCACATGCACACCATGGAAGGGTAAATGGGGAGGCGGGTTTGCAAAGAAGGTCTCCACGACCTCGGAGGAGGGACCTACACGACTGCCCGTGCTCCCTGCCCTCCTTCACCATCCGCAGGGACATGTTGAACATCCGGTCCAGGGGCGTCATGTTCTCCTGGAACGACAGGGCAGGTCGGTGCTCACTCATGGCCGGGCCGGCGCGGGGCCGCGCGGGTCGCCCTAAGGTAAGCCTCTCATACATCGTCTGCGATGAAGCCCGTGCTGGCGATGCGGCGCCGGCGCTTGGGGTTGTCGCCTCCCTCCCCGTCTCTGGCGGACGACTTGGACGGCCGCCCCGGTCGCTTCCGCTTCGCGGGGCGAAACCGGAAGTGCTTGGCCCTCTGCTTCTCCCTGTCCGCCTTGATCTTCTTGAGGAGCGCTGGGGTAGAGAGTCCAACGACTTTGAGGTGAAAAACTGCAGCCTCGAGAGGAAACACGGGCCTTGACTTGCCCTCCCCACCTTGCATGCGCAGGTCCTCCCGCTCCACCTTCTTGTTGCGAAGCTCGACGGACAGCTTGAGGGCCTCCTCCTGCCGCGCCAGCAGCCGCGCCTCCCGCTCCTCGCGCTCAGTCTGCACCTGCACCTTGGTCTGCCACTGGCGCGCCACCTGCAAGAGCCCAGGATGTTGCTCGCTTACTGCGTGTTGCCGGGCTGCGCCTCCAGACCAACCAGGGCCCACCTCCTTCTCCTTGTACTCCTGGAGCTGCAGCTGCTGCTTCTCCAGCCGCTCCTTGCGCTCCTTCTCCTCGCGGTTCCAGGCCTGGATCGTGGCGAGGACCTTGGCGCGCTGGATCTCCTGGGCCACGGCCTGCCGGTGCTTGACCTTCTCGTCCATCTCGCGCGCCCGCTCCACGGCCAGCTGCCGCTGCTCCTCCTTCTTGGCCTCCACGCGCTCCAGCAGCTCCATGTAGCGCATCTGGCGCGCCATCAGCCTGGACCAGACGAGTGCGGGTGAGCAGCCAGCCCCCTGCTGCCCCCTCCCCCCCTTGTGTTTGGTGCGCGTGCTCACTGCTGGTTCTTCTGGCGGCGTATCTCCTCCAGGTTGGCGCGCTGCTCGCCTTGCTTCTCCTCCCGCGCCATCCGCTTCTCGTCCTGCTCCAGCTGCCGCTCCTCGCACTGCCGCGCCCGCCGGATCGTCTGCTCGTCCGACAGGTTCACGGCCTGGGGAAGCAGAACAAAGGCCACCGTCGTGCACCGCCCTGCTGCGTCCCACGCAGTATGCCTCTTGTCCCCATGGTGCCATTCTGTCCCGTTGGTGTTACCACCCTTGCCCCTACAGGCGCGGTTTTTATTAGTCCGTCCGACGGAGGGGGCGATTTACTGTGGGTTGCCTACTTTCAGAGGTTTCGTAGAACAAATTGCCTACCTACCCGATTTGGGCGATTTGTCCCCCCCCCCCAAATAAAGCCACGCCTGTGCCCCCATGGTTTTACCACCCTGTCCCTACGGTGTTCCCATCCTGTACCCATCCTGTCCCCATTGTGTGTGGGGACTCACCCGGCGGCGGTACTCGTCGCGGATGAGCTCGCGGTAGACGGTCTGCAGGTGGCGGCGGTAGGTGTTGAACTGGCGCAGCGAGCAGACGGCCTCGCCGGTGGGCAGGATGAAGCCGCGCTCGAGCAGGATGCGGCGGTGCTCCTCGGCCTGGAACATCCTGCGCAGCGCCGGGTCGTGCACCGGCTCGTACGTGTAGTCCACCTCGTGCATGTAGGGGTCGTCCAGGCGGAAGTCGCCCACGGGCGTGGACTGCCATAGCTGGACCGCGCCGGGCGCAGAGAAAGGCAGCGTGAGAGGACAAGTAGTGCTTCTGCTGAGAACAACCGAGATGCGCGGGGCTGCTCTTTGGGATCGTCCGGAAAGTACGCGAGCTTGGGCCCTGCGAGACTCAGGGTAGGCCACCCCGCGGTACACGCATGAACTGCAGGCAAGATGTTGCCTACCCATCAGGCGCTCTGAAAGCCTGAACTTCGCAAGTTCGTGACGTAGAATTCGGAGAGTGGCGAGCGTACTTTCTGGATGGCCCATCTACTTTTATGCGGGATCCCTGGTGCAACCCCGCACCCCATGCATTCGGCGGGAGCCGTACCCCCTGGCTGAGCTTGTCGCGGTAGAAGACGAAGGCGTCCTTGGGGTGGTCGATGATGGGCAGGCGCGAGCCGAGCGGCACCCTCCTCCAGTAGGGCAGCCCGTTGCGGGGCACGGCGCCCTCGGGCACCGGCACGGCGCTCTGCAGCGCGTCCACCACGGTGGGCCGGCGCAGCATGAGCGTCGCGTCCCGCACCTGCTGCGCCGTCATGGCCGCGTCCGCGCGCTCCGCGCCGCCCGCCTCGCCTGGGTGAAGTGGGCACGATTCGTATGAGAGCGGAGGTTTTGGTTTCATTAAAACAGGGTAGCGAACATAGTT